TTAAAAAACCGAATAAAAAGCGAAACGCCCGAGCGTAAACGTTTAACGCGCCCGGAATCACTACGCGCTAATACAGCCGGCAATATATCCGCTTAAAAAAAACGACTTAAAAATATCTTTAAAAAAAAAAAATTTAAAACGCTTAAAAAAAGTGTAAAAATGCTATTCTGTAGATAAATAGGTGCTGAACAATAATAAAACGCTTAAAAAACCGAATAAAAAAGCGATTCTCCCGAGCGTAAACGGTTGACGCGCGCCTGGCATAAATACGCACTAATAAAAGCGGCCCATTATACGCATTGAAAAACACCTTAAAAAACGCTTAAAAAAAAGTTTAAAAATGCTATACTGTTGATAAAGAGGCGAAACACAATAATAAAGTGCTTAAAAAATGAWTAAAAAWGCGAAACGCATGAGCGTAAACGTTTAACKCGCGCCCGGCACAAATACGCACTGATAAACGCGACACTTTATACCCTTAAAAAAACGCCTTAAAAATCGCTTAAAAAAAAATTTAAAATGCTATACTGTTGATAAAGAGGTGCTGCACAGTAATAAATGGCTTAAAAAACCGAATACAAAAGGGGAATGCCCGTGCGTAAACGTTTGACACGCGCCCGGTATCGGTACGCGCTAATACAGGCAGCAGGATAGCGCTAGATAGTACATAGGCACAGTGAGAAAATATTACCTTCATAGAAAAATCACTCTCACGTATTCCGAAAATATTGGACGAGACAAATTCAGGCCCCAAGACGCGGAAACGAATTAACGTAATCCTGGTACTAGCTGAATTTCCATACTACCCAAGGGGTATCAGCTGCAGCACGTTTTTTTTAAAGTGGTTTCCCCAAGAGGCCTAATCCACTAGTCYATAACAATGGAATATTTTATTTAACACGCGTCATGCTGTACACTTTCACACGTTTTTGATCTTGCCGATTATCTTCTGAATAATTTTTTTCTGTAATTCAAATTGCTCAAAAAGAAGTGTACCTTTCTTTGTCTAGCCGTGTCAATGCTCCCCTACGTTGTGCCTCGTGTATCCGGTGGCACGGACCTCGTCAAAAAGAATTTGAACTCGCTCTTCCAACACAGTTGCATCGAACCTTTCACGCAACCTGCTCACGTAGTCCAGGTCTATGACAGCTGATGGATACTGCGCCACAATGTCCCCATCTAAGATTCTCTGTTTGGCCATTTCCGGTTGCAAGTGATGCRACTACGCTTCAAATATTCTCGAAGGGTTGTCTCTGGTACATTAAACTGCCGAGCGGCTTGACCAGCAGACAATGACCCAGATTTTACAGCATCAAGGGCTATGTTCATTCCTGACATCTCGAAAATTCAGCCCCTGTAGGTGAGAAACACGAATTCTAGTACACTATAAATAATAAAACCTCTAGGCCACCAAAGCAACATATGATAAGGACAGTGAATATATAAACGCAGCCCTTTATACGCTTAAAAAACGGCTAAAAAACGCTTAAAAAATATATTGAAAAAAGCTGTAAAGAAGAAATTGGGGTGCTGAACAATAATAAAAAACTTAAAAAACCGAATAAAAAAGCGAAACTCCCGAGCGTAAACGTTTGACGCGCGCCTGGCATAAATACGCA